GGGGGGGGGGGGGGGGGTTGCTTCTTCTTCTTCTTCTGACGTTTCTGGGGATGAAAGGCCCAAGTTCTTGTTGAAGCTTTTGGGTTCTTTCTATCTACCCTGTTGCTGTGGCTCGTTTGAGCTGGGTCATTTTTCCTTCTTGGTTCGAAGGTGAACTACGTGATTCTGCTATGAAATCTCCATAGACGGCGCCAAATTGTTTAGCTAAAAAGTGGTTTAATTCTTCTTAAGCATAAACAATCATTGAATTAAGGGTCAATCATAGTAAATCGTAATAAAAGACCAAGATAAAGAGAATAAGGAGATAAAACACAAGGTTTATGGTTAAAACGGCGAAAGTATAAAGTTTTATTGAAGATCTTTGTCAATGTGGTCTGCCTCTCCGTGGAGAGGTTTAGAGCCTTACAATGGTTCTTCTCTCTAATAGAGAGAGTATTTTTCTTGAGAAGAAGAAGAAGCAACCCCTTTTTAGGGTTTAATCTCTTTGTATTTATAGTGGTGAACTTGCAAGCTGTCGCTGAGTAGCCGTAGCTATGTCGAGGGGACATCCCCATGGGGACGGGTAGGTCGTAGCCTCCTTGGTTGCGCTGAATGGCTACCCGTGGAGATCATGAACGACTAATGATATCGTATTAGCCATAAGTAACATTTGGAGAATAGTTAATCTTGTTAATAGTTATTGGATTAGATTTTGACCAATACAGTATCCTTCAAGATTATTTAGATTTTCAAGGTTCTTGCCCGTGAAATTAAAATTCTGAAATTATAAAGTTGGAACAAATTTTAAGTTGAATTATTTATATTGAGGACTCATGAGATATTTTTTAAATTATTGAGTTAGTTATACACATTTAATATTCATGGTCATCTTCAGGAACTTAAATTTTTAGTTTATAATTTAGTATTATATTTTAAATATTATACTTATTGAGATAGGATCACGCGCATCGCGCGTACCCTACGACGTGTGTGTGTATATATATATATATATATATATATATATATATATATGAGGGTGTGTGCCTTTATGAGCAAGAAAAAGGATTTGAGGGAAAATAGTTGGTCCCAAAATTCTCCAAGGCTATCCGTACGTTGTGCCTAAACACAGAGGCTCACCCTTTCAACTTTGTCTGCATTTGTACCAGGCTATTTTCTGTTGCTAAAATCAACTCATGTTCATTCCAACCTTTTACACATGGGTCCCATAACATTTGTTTATAGTACAATTGGTGCGCAACTTTCTTAAGGAGTTTAACTAAAGTATTTTAATATTCAAATATATGAAAATTGAATATTACTACCTTTATCCTAGTTTTTTTTCCCGGTATTAGTATTACTTTGTGGGCGTTTGGACATAAGAATTGTTTAGTAACTGAATATATGTTTAGTAAAAAGTGAAAAAATTGACAAATATATGATGTTTTAAAATGTTTTTATGGAAGAGATTTTTAGTAACACATGATAGTTATTTTCTTAGGCGTCTAACAATAAGTGTTGGTGATGTACACTTTTAATGTTAACCAAATTTAGTAATTAAACATTAAAATCAATATGATACCCAAATAATGATAGTCTATTTGATTTTAAATTATTAAAATACTATTTCAAATTCGAAAAAGATATAAAAAATATTGATATATGAATATGAAAGAACAAAAAGATAACTGACCCATTTTAATAACACTTGATAAGAAAGTGATACAATTATTAATTAAAGTAAATAAGAAAGAATGTATTTCATATAAATATTACATCCATGAGAGGATCAAAAACATTTCTAAATATTTATTAAAGAAAATTCTATATAAAGTCTTAATAGTATATTAAAAGTTATATACTTATATGTTGGTTTGGTTTAGGTACTCAATACCAAATAAATCAAATCAAACATAGTCGGATTTTTCAATTGGTTTGGTTTGACTTTTAGGGTATGATGCGATTTTGTGGTTCGACTTGAAACCCCTAAGTAGTATATACTATCCAATACAATTCACGATTGCTAACATAATGTCACGACCCAAATCCCGATCGTGATGGCGCCCGACCGCAAGGCTAGGCAAGCCCAATCACAACAACTCAACATTTGCATTACAGCCCAACAGGAAGAGATTTCCTGACTTTAACAACAATTTATATATTAATCCGCCCATTCAGGGCCTAGACAAAATGAAACGACAGCTGAATCAAATAACACTTCCCCAAAACCAAGGGTCACGAGTACTGAGCCTCTACCAATACAGTATACAAATCTGGAAAGTGAAAGATACACTATCTTAACAGAAAGTAATACAGAATCTGAAATACTGATAGGAGCATAATAAGGATCGGAGAAATGGGTCCTGCGGACGCTGGCAGCTACCTCGAATCTCCGTCTAGCTGATGATCAACAACAACAGTACTATCATGCCTCAACAACACCTGAATCTGCACACAAGGTGCATGGAGTAGGGGGTGAGTCTACCAACTCAGTGGTAATAAGAGTAAATAATGTTGAGAGTAAAGAAATCACGTAAGAGCACTACATCATGCTATAAAGTACAGTTCAACTCTCTTTAGATCCAGTAGATCCATAAAAATCCTTTAGAAAACATCTGGGCTCAGTAAAAACCTCTCTTGAAAATATTTCTTTTCAATAGTTGTACAAATAATTTCAACAAGTAGAAAATAGTTAGAAATCTGCCCCTCGGGCTCAATATCAACCTCTCGATACAGTACCAGCCACTCGGGCTCACTCCCAACTCACAAGGTACAACATCAGCCTCTCGGGCATAGCACTCCATTAACAAATAACACCAGAGTATCTGGTAAATAGTGCAAGAAGTAGCATGGATGCCAATGATATGGGTGCTGAATGTCATGACAACATTACAAAATAAGAACAAATACATAAGTGCAATGCAATGCATATGACGGTACACTCCAGTACCCGCTGCGGCGTGCAGCCCGCTCCATTTATTTAACGTCGACGGCGCTCACTAGGGGTGTGTACAGACTCCGGGGGTTCCTACAGTGTCATTGTTACCACTGTCCCAAATACATAAGTACCGGAGGGGCTCCTACAGCCCAAGCACAATAACAATAGGCCTGAAAACCTTCACACATCACACTCGAGGCCTGGAAACCTCCTCACACATTACTCGAGGCCTGGAAACCTCATCACACATCACTCGAGGCCCGGAAACCTCCTCACATAACACTCGAGGCCTGAAAACCTCCTCACACATCACTCGAGGCCTGAAAACCTCCTCACATAACACTCGAGGCCTGGAAACCTCCTCACATCACTCAATATTTCCTCACAGATGGCCCTTGGCCTCAATCAATCCAGAAAATAATCATAAGCCCCTTGGGCATCAGTAAAACAAGGATTCTCAGCTCATCAATATCATAAATGTCATTTAAAAACTCGATATGAGTATAAAAGTAGCTGAGTCTTCCAAATAATATATTTCAATACGACTGAATTCAATAATATTTCAATATGTGAGGAAAATAGTGATGTAATATTCATAAAATATTTCAAATCATTGGCATGAAGCCCAAGTATGGCAATAAGCCCAAATCATGGTATAAAACAATATTTCTTTATTAAATATGCAATAATATCAATAACCGGGATGGACCAAGTCTCAATCCCAACGGTGCTCTACCCCATGCTCATGCCCAGCGTGCAAGTCACCTCAATATAGCACTATGATGTGCATGTCCGGGGTTTTAAACCCTCAGTACATCATTTACAAATATTACCTACCTCGAACCAATGAAACCTCAAGCTTGCGACGCCTTTGCCTCTCAATTTGGCATCCTCACGCATCGAATCTAGAGAAAAACAGAGCGAATGCATCATAATATGCTAATGGGACAATACCCAATCGAAAACAACCAAGAAATAGCCAAAAACTTGAAACTTGCAAAACCCGAGCCCCAGGCCCACGTCTCGAAATTCAAAAATTTTTACGTCATAATGACCCTCGTCTCATCACGAGTCTATACATACCAATTTCATCAAAATCGGAGTCCATTTGACCCCTCAAATTATCATTTTCATTTTCAAAACTCAAACCCTCAAACTCCACATTTTCCATCTCAAATCACAAATTAAATGATGATTTCAATGGTATATTCATGTACTTCAACCAAATTTGAGTTAGAAACACTTACCCCGATGAATTTCTTGAAAGACCTTCGAAAAAATCGCCAAAATCCGAGCTCCCACGGGTAAAATACCAAATAAAACTCAAAACCTTGTATTTATTGAGTACCCCTCGGTCTGCTACAGTGCTTACCGCACAAAAATGCCATGCGGCCGCATCCAAACAGTGTGGTCCGCCCAAAAATGTCATGCGGCCACACATATGTGGACTGCCGTGATACCCTTCACCATTTTGGTCATAACTTTCCCTACAGATGTCCAAATTACGATTTCGTTAACTTTCTGGAAACTAGACACGAAGAACTACAACTTTTATTTTTGAAGCATCTCAAAATTCCTTATAGATCAAAAGTTATGAGCTTCCGAAGTCGGATCACTGACCTGTCGATCCTCAGCTCACGCGGCCCGCGTGGAAAGGACCGCGGTCCGCGTCCAGCTTGTGCGGCCGCGTGAAAATGACTGCGGTCCGCATCAGCTGACTGCTA